TAACATACGAACATCCTGACGGACGTGGCTAGATCGCCTCTGCTTGTCGTCCTGATTAATATTTATATAATTAATGAGAAGGCGTGGCTTCTTCTGCCTTACATTTTAATTTCCCATTTTCAATGCGTTCAGGGCATGAAATGAATATATTATGTTCGTCTTGCTATACGTCTGTCTGTTCATAATAAAGTATTGCATTTTGAGACTTGAAATTTTGACGTCTTTGGATGATATAATTTGTTCACCTATTCACTGTATTTTACAATATATATTATTATTAATGGAGCGCATTGAAGTCATAAAATATTGAGTCATAATTTATTATGCAGTTGCTTGTGCTCGACTGAAAGTTTCTTAATATATTTTGTGCCCTTTACTTAGTATTTGCCTTTCCCAGTAGCGGTCGCTTCTTAAGCTACATTAAAGCATTTGTTTTCCTACTTTTCGCCTTTAATATATATTTTATGTTCTATCTATTTCCATTTTACAAGAGTGATACATTGTATATCATTTCCATGCTGTCATATGATGATTTATGGAAACAGGCAGACTATAATTAGTTTGTTTGGCTACCAATTTACCTGACCGATTCGGAAAGCCTCAGTTCATCGTAAATGAAAACGCTCTCATATTGCAGCAAACGAGCCGAGCTGGGGTGCAGCTGGAATGACACTTTAATTAGTTTATAACGCTGCGGTCGAGGACGGTGCGAATGGTCAACAGGACAAATGAATATTTGTCATGCTTTGCGGTTACGTGCAACGTGTTTTTACTGTACGCATTGGCACTGGCATTCGTATTCGCATTCGTCGCGGTTCAGTTGCTGCGGTTAACCAACGCAGCGTGTCCTAATGCTAATGGCATTTCAATGTCCTGCACCAGTTGCCCTCCATCCAATGATTGGTGGTCTCTCCAAATGCGAGCGCTAATGCAAATGAAGTATGTTATAGACTCGAGAGCTGCCATTGATTAATTGCAACTCAAAATGTGGCGAATATTTCTGACTTAAAGCTCAGAGACCAGAAGTGAGGCTCAAGTCAGCTATGAAACTCACATCATAACCAAACTGGAAGCCTCGTCCATTGAGCTTTATTGGGCATAAATATTCCACTCGAATGCACATGCAGAGTCTTCGCTTGAGTCCTCAGTGCACTCACAGTTCACTGACTCATTAGGCTGGCTGTAAATCTTATGTTCCGTTTGCCATCCTTAATTTGAGCTCTATCTGTCTCTCTATCTTGGTCTAAGTTTGCAGTATCATCAATTGCTTTGTGCCATTTGCCTTTGAGGGGATTTAGTTTGTGAAGCGTTGAGGCTTGGATCTATCAGCAGCATGGCAAATTCAAGCTGATGTCATTTACATGACGAGCCACATTTAGAAAACTAAAGTCAGCAGCTGAGCAGCAGAGCTGCTGCTCATAATTTTGCTGACTAACTGCGGCTGGTCGAAGGGCGTTGTATGCTCAGCTAGCAGATACTCTGTAGAAAAATGCAAGATAAATAAAACTTAAGCTAATGCATCAATAGATTCTCTTTAACATTCTGATAATTTAATGCAATATAATTATTTTATATTTGAAAGCGCATATATGTTTATAAAGAGAACGTCCCGTTGGCTCTGTCAATATATAAAGAGCTTAATTTATTATCGTCCCGGCTCTTGGTCCTTTGAGTGCTGGGTACAAGAATAAAAACAAAGCTGCAAATAAAATACTCGCATTTAAATACAAATCCGAAGCGAAAGTCGCTTTAAGCGAGAAATGACAAGCGACTCTGTGATTTGCTTTATGAGATCCTTCAAAGGCACCCACGCACACAGACATAGATATATATACTTGGCATTTGTATGTGGACTGCATAGTAATGAGTTACAGTTAGTGTTTCAGGCATGCCATGGCGCACATACATAAATATAATAAATCCAAATACATGACACGCATTGATATAAAGTTTTTGCTCTGCTTCAAGTCGGGCAATTAATGTCTTTTATGTTTGTCATACGCGCCGGGGCTTAGGTTAAGCAGCGAACTCTCATGCTGCAGCTGTGAGCAATGCTTTGACCTTTGCCCTTTGCAGCGCTCGCTTTTCGAATGCTGTTTAAAGACTCGTACATTGACTTAGCATTTGGGAAACTGATTTTTTGTTTGCTTTCATAAAAAGTTGCTATATCTTTGGCTTTGTTCGGATTCACTAAGCGTAAGCTTTTAATAACGCCCAAGGGCAGCAGAAGCAGAGCGCAATTAGCTGACTTTTTCTTTAAGCCAAAACACAGAAAGTTTCGAGCCAAGCGTAAAACGATTTATTATTTTATATTAGTTAGTTAAAAGTTTTAATTAAAAAGTTAACAAATTTATCTTTGCCGCCTAGCATGTTAGTGAATTTCACATTCAGCTGGCAATTTGCCACAAATATTGATCCAATTAAAGTTCAGCACTTGCCCCCACCATCAAGGATCCGCCGAGGCGGCTACACACAATAGGCGTGGCCGTTGGCGTCGGCACAACAAGTGCGGCTAATCAATCAATGCAATCAAGCATAAATTGTCTTAAAACAAAAGCCCCAACTAAATATTGTGATGCCATTAACAACAACTGTCAATAGGGCGATATGAGCAGCTGGGGGTAGACAACAAAAGCCACAGCGATGTGGCGGGGCGTTGGGTGTTGGGCGTTGGGCGTTGGGCTATGCTCGTGCTTGCAACAATGGCTGACGGAAACCGAAACAGCTACAGACGCACGGACCAAGCTCCATTTAGTCGCCTGCAGGGCACAATACACACAGAGCATGCCCAATTCCAATTCCAATTCCAATCCCAGTCCCAATGTCAATGCCAATGCCAATGCCAATGTCGAGCGTGTGCAAACAGACAAAGGCGAGAATCTCAACGCCATCAACGTGACGAGCCGAGGCATCTTCATTTTCATCTTCATCGCCAGCAACAACAGCAACAGGAACAACAACAATGCGTGTGTCTCGTTTGTCGCTTTATGAAATTATGCACGAATGTTATTATTGCGGCTTGTTTCCTAGAATATTTCACATGTTTGTGTTAGCAAAATGGTAAATGGTAAATGGTAAATGGCATAACAAACGTGGTAACAGCACGCACAAATTGGTATTAAATTGGCCCTTAAGGCCGCTCTAGATTTCATCCAAAATAAACAGAAAACATACTGAAAGATAAATACTTTGTGTGTGTGTGTGAGTGTGTGAGTGTGTGTGTATGTGTGGGTTAAATCTCATATAGCTATGCGTATGCAAATTGTTTAAGGGCAAAATCAAGCAAGAATCTGGATTGCACACACCTACAGATTGCCAATGACACGAGCTGAACAGCCAGCCGACAAGTGTCTGTCTCTCTAAAAAGTATTTCGGCATGAAGTTATTTGATATAAGTCCAATTTACCATATCAGTTTCTTCCTCAGCTAAGATTAGTCTTGCTCAAGTTGATCTACGCCTTTGATGTCGAACTAAGAATTTGATCAATTTTAGACTTTATCAGAAGAAGTTACCTTGAGCCGACGCTGGGAACTGCTAGTTGTTGGAAGGCTTTGAGTTTGGTATTCCATTGAGCCGACCTAGCGTAGACTTGACTTGCAGCAAGATCACTATGTTATGTCAGCTTTCAGATTGGGCTATGTTTCAGTTGCAAGCGTTAGCGCAACTGCATCAATTGTTATTAATAACTCATAGAGAGCTTCTCCCCAGTAGCTTCCACACACTAAGAGCTGCAGCTCATTCTTCTCTCACAGTTCGAGCTGATTCCCTTGACTAACAATGTTGTAAGAGTTAGTTAATAACCAGCAAGCACTATGCTCTATGGGCAACTTTTGAAGCCAAAGTGCTCTGCTCTGTCAGCTCGTGTCATTGGCATCTAATGAACTTTCCATCTACACATCAAATTGCATGCCAGAGGCAGCCACTTCACCTGCAGGCTGCTGCCTGCTGGCTGTTGTATAAAAGTAAATGCCGACACTGAAGTGGAATCTTGTTGGATCGCTCACAAAGCTACTTGGCTGGCCAGGATGTGCCGCGCATCCCAAGTGAGCTGCCCTGTCGCATTGTCTCAGCGCCTGTCGCATTGTTATGTCAGCGAGCGCAAAGTATTTGCAGTCAACTTTGTTGGCATTTATGTAGCGGCAACTCAGCAGCAGTCAGCTGTCGAGCATCTGGGCTGCATCCTAGTGAGTGGCTCTGGCGCTGTCAAACGGCATTACTCGACCGTCTGCGATTTAATCTGAAAATGCGCTCGCTTAGCAAAACACTGAAAGTTGAGTAGAAAATTGGTTATTGTGCTTGCCTCTAATGGAGCGTAATGTCTGCGCTTGTGGCTGTGCTTGTGTCTATGCGTGTGTGTGTGTGTGTGTGTGTGCCTAGGGCTGTGTCTGTATCTGTGTGAGTGCGTCTCATGCTTATATTTGATGCGTCCGACAGCCAATGTTTTAATTAATGCCACGCCTGCAGTGTCTCTAGTCGTCGGTTCTTTTGTCCTTAAAGTTTTTCAATTATTTTGCTTTGACAAGTTTTTACAAGGCTCCAGCGTAGCGCTCAGCTTCATTCACTATATAAAGTGCAAATTAATGCATAGCAAAATGTTAATGGCCTCTAAGCTCTACTTGAGCTGCATCCACCCAAAGACTCTGCCGAATTGACCTAATTGAATTTCAGCTCAAGTTAAGCTGCAACTGACATTCAAATTATTAATTTATTATTGATTCTGTTGGCCACCCGCCTCCACTTGGACTCCATCCGTGGCTTAATCTCTGCAAGATAATAATTGAGTAAAGATCCTTTGATGTATTTATAATTTACTCAGAATAAACAACTGAAATTATTAACTCCTAATTGGATTTGCATTTAATAGTAGTATATTTGATTGTATTATGTTAGTTAGTCTGTGAAAAGCAGGCATTAAATGAATTTTAATAAATTTAATTAAAGCCGCAAATGCCAACAATAATATTTATGTTTTTAATTTCCATTTAATTCATTTTTCTAGAATCAATACAAATGGCTGAGTTTATGCAAATCTGCTAAATAAATGCAAACACGTTGCAGGTGCGGGCAAAAAAGTGTTGCAAATTCAATTCAGTTGGAATCGCAAAAATCAAAGTAAACAAGCAAGAAAAGTCCCAACGACTGCCTAATACTCGATTGTTGAATGTAGGTAAATACCAAAGTTTTTAGATCTGCTGCGTCCAAATCGCCCAGGAGATGATTTAAAACTTACTCTTTTTTATACTAGATGAAGTAATGTGAAATAAATAATCTTTCCCGATTTAACCATAGCCACCTAAGCTTGACGCTTTTGACAGTTGAATTTATATATAATATATAATATGTATAAAATTGCAAGTCTTGCAAGAATATTACTTTTACGTCGAATGGCAGACAGATGAGCGAACAAGGCCAATATGCGCTATTTCATTTTGTGAACGAGTATAAAAATATTAAAGTTAACAAACAGATTTGTGCTAAAAATCATTTAATATGTATATTCAAAACGTTTCGTTCGAGTGACGCGCAAAAGCATGCTACGATTTTAATAGAAGCTGTAGTCTAATTGGAACTAACAAACTCCAATTGGGCAGAGAACAACTAGTGTGCAAAGAAATTTTAATAGAATATGAACTCTAATTGGAACTTCCAAACTCAAGTTGGAAAGGTGCAAAGAGTATAATTATTGATCATTTGACCTGCTGTAGTTATATAGCTGTTATAGTTAGTCAAATTAGCTAGTCAAAGTAGCTTTAAAAAGTTTAGCTTAGCTTAAAGTTATTCCAAGTCCATCAAGCGCCTTCGAATCTAGCTTTTAGATTGAGTAGAATCTAGTTTCGTTTGAGCTGACATTTTAAACAAATCTCTGTCATATGCAGCGTGTGTCAAGGAGGCTTTGTGCAATTATTATGCAACAAGTATTGCCGAGGGCAAAGCCAAGCAGCTTACAACACGCACGCGCCGTGTACGTGGGCTTGAGCGTGTCTGTTTTTGTGGGCAAACGCTGGGGCTGAATGCAAAACTGGAATTGCCAGAGCTGTGGCAAGACCGCAGACGCGCATGGCCATAGCCAAAAAGGTGGCGAGCATAAGACGTACAGAACAGACTTGAGTGAGTGTGGCTTGAGTGTTGCATGTCAACACCATTGTTGCACAAGCCGCATCGCGTTAACTCTCCCTGGACGCATTTTCTGTTTTCAAGTCAAAAAGACAACCGCAGCCGCAGCAGCAGAGGCAGTTCTATAAGCTGAGAGAGAGAGAGAGAGTAGGCACATGTGTGTGGCAGCTACGTGACTGTGCTGCCAATGCTGCTCCGCTTACCGCACTCACAAAGCAGCGCCAGGCGCCGCGCTAAGCGACGCTGATGGCCGAGGCCAAAATGCAATGTTGCAATTTGCCAAATTGAAAACACGAAAATGAAAACGGCGACTGCGGCTGGGGCAGGTCGACTACAAAGTAGCCGCCAAGTTAATTTACGCTAACGTGCATGCAGCCGTCGCACCACGCACGTCATTCACCCCTAATGGCCACATCCGCTTGCACTTGCACAGCAACAATGCGGCCACTAATTCTCTAATTTCAAACGGGCAGCGCGTGCACAAGTACAAAGACCAAACCAACCCAGGCCAACCCCAAGCCTAGCCCCAACCCTTGCCCATATTACCTATTTATGGACACATGCTGCGGCTGTTGAGCTTCATTTGCATGTTGGAGCTGCAACTGCAGTTGCAACTAATGTGCGCTGTGGCAGCGAACATGTTTACGCCGCATTTTAATTAAAAATAACTGCAGCATAAAAAACACACACATACACATTTTTTAATTAACGGAAATATGAGCCAGCTCACCTCTCTCTCTCTCTCTCTCTCTCTCCCTCTCTCTCTGTGTTTGCTGCAATTTACCTTTGAAATAGGAATTGTTAGTAAATATTTAAGAGCTTCATTTGCGTGTTCACATATTTAACATGCTACACGAGTGTGTCTGCCTCTGTGTGGGTGTGGGCGCAGTTGAAGCTAATATCTGAAAGACCAATTACTACAGCATTGATTTGTTTGGCTTTGTTTTGTTTATTTGCTTTCGTTTCGTTTGTTTGTGCGGCATGGCTCGATGCCCGTTGCTCGTTTCCGGTCAACTCAACAAACTTTCATGAACTGGCTTTGTGTAGCCGTTATGCTCGCATAATTTACCCATATTTGTGGCAAACTAATTGCGGTACATCCTCGCTGCACTGTCAGCCAGCCAGCTGAGCGTCAGTTTCTGAGCTATGCAAATTTACTGCGCTGCTTTGTTGACTGACAGCAAAGAGGAGACACAGCCTGCCAAGCGGACTCGTATGGACGCTCCGAACACATTTGCCTTGCATTAATTAAGCGAATTCACAGACAATTTGAACAGCGCCTCAGTTGCTGCAGCACATCGTGTCAGAGTTAAGTATATAAAACACGCCCCGACATGTGCTCTACTACGAGTTCCACATTAGAGTACATTTAGATAGAAGATTGAGTTGGGATTGATTATCAGGAAGCTTTATGCTGTGCTAACGCGTGGATTTTTAAATTTTAAGAGACTTTAGCACTTATTGTTTTGCAGTTTATTGGATGTTTTCGTGGTCAATATGCTGCCGACGCCCAAATGCTCACGGGACATAAAAAAATTTGTTAACCAAAGAGCGCATTAAAATCGTAATCTTTAGTGTTGACATTAAATCTACGAGTACAATGCTCCAAAAAGTGGGTGGAGTGGGTCACATGGTTATAGCCACGCCCCAGCTACAAACAGTAACATAGCCGCCCATAAAACGCTGGCGAGAACAAAGCAATTTCACACGCTCATGAATGGCAAAGTGAAGCAGGAGAGATAGAGAGAGAGAGAGAGAGAGAGAGAGAGAGAGAGAGGGCGAGAGAGAGGGAAGGAGAGCTACCCTTATAGAGCAGAGTTCAAGAATTTATTACCCAATTTGAAATTGCAAACGAGTGCGTGATAAACCTGGAGCTAGTTGTTGTTGCTGTCGGCTTAGTCATTGTTGTTTGCATATACCCTGTACCGAAAGCCGATTAGAATATGCCAGACAATGGCAGATACGGTCAACGATAGTTAGGGTATTGCCAGCGTTCAGCTAGCGCTTAAAACTCTTTTGTTTGCCATTGTGTTTTATTCAAAACAGCGTTGTTTATGACAAACGGAAGGAGGAGCAAAAAGAGTAGAGCAGAGCTGATGCCAAGAGCAAGTCAATCGGTTGGTCAAGGTGGCTGAGACGGTCGTATGAGCAAACAGAATGTGAAAATGGAAACGTGGCTAATATGAATTCGCATACGCAGTCGGCAAGACAAAAGGTGAAAATGTTGAAAATCAATGTGTATAGCTGGCAGCAAATGCAAATGCAAATGGAAATGCATAAGGCAACTGGCAGCTCGATTAAATGGCAGCGGCTGCTTGCCCCAAAAACTTTGTTTAAACTTGAAGTCAAGGTGATGCGGCAAGTGCAGTGCATAGATGTTGCGCACGTGGCAAATGCCGCGAGCTTTTCTATGCAAATGCCAAAAGCCATTTTAATGCAAATGCGCAATGGACTCACCCGTGCTCCATGCAGAAGCGTTTTTCCTCGTTTTCATTTAAATATTTTTTTCCCGTCTTTCCCATATTTTTCTTTGCCTTTTTGTCTGTTGCCGCGCTTTAAGTGGCAATTCGCTGTTACTCTCCCGCTTGTCGCCCCTTCCCACATTTGCATATTGGTAAGAGCAAAGCTCGTTCTTGCTCTGTATTTGGCCCGAAGTGCACCTTGTGGTCATAAATTTTGCGTGCTCCATTGAAGCATTTAAATGTATTTCCATCTCGGAGATGCCAACTTCTCCAGATTTGCGATAGAATAAACAAATTTATTGCACACAAATAAATTGTACTTCATATACATATGTCTCGTCTGTTCGAATGCATTTGAAATTCATTTCGATTGCTCAAAAACAATTGACATTTCGAGAATTGCCAAGCTCAAGCGAAATGGCATTCGAATAACTGATTGGCCACAACATGAATGTGGCCGAAATGCCAGCCAGAAATATTGCTAAACGAATTTATTCGAGTTGAAAATGCCATTTTGTAGAGCCATTGAATGTGGCTCAAACAACTGTTTAAACAGAGAATTTAAAAAGCTTTTAAACGTAAACAACTATTGTTAAGTCTTATTATTGCTTGGCTTGGCTTCGAGCTACTTTGATATGGAGGCTTGAAGCCAGAGCTGACGGCAGTTCCATTTGATTAGGCAAATGGTGCAATTATGTTGCCAAGCTCTCTGAGGAAATAAAATAGGAATAGAAATATTTTATATTTATATGTATAATTTATAGATACAAGCATTTCATATATATATAAACATATTTTATTTATTATATATTTTATGTGATTCCTAAATGGAAGTTGGCTAACAGCTTACCAACTCTTCTAGCAGCTATGAAATACTAACTTTTTATTCCATCTCCTTTCTTTGCAGAGTGTCTTAAATTAAATCAAGTTGACAGCACGTGGTCGCTAATCAAACAGAATTGAACTGTTAAATGGCTGCCGAGGCCTATTTGTGCGTCAATATTTAAAGCCGCCCATAGAAAGACACAGGCGACTGAAGCGAACGTGCGCGAACTGAGATCTGGAGGCTAATGCAACGAGCACAGCCACAAGGGCTGAAGATGACAGAAAGCCATTTGCCGGGCACAGTTTGAGTTGGTCTCATCATCAATTACCCCTTCCAGCGTTGGCCATTACAGCCGTTCAGCTAGCCAAACAGCAGGAGGGGCGACAACAGGCAACAGGCGTCGACAACAGGTCGTCAAGGAGCTGCGTCCTCTCAGCCATATAAGTGGGCAACTACGTGACTTTGTCAGCACACGCAGCTGGAGCCGCAGTCAAGCGTTTAACTGAAGAGCATCGCCTACTCGCTGAAAGCCTGGGCCAGATTTACCTGATGTGGGGACAGGTGCAATGAATGTATGCCGCGCTCGTTGACACAATAACTAACAATCATGACCGATGTGTCAGCTGCCGCAGGCAGGGCCTGCGATAGAACCGAGGCGCCAGTCGAGTCCGCGTCTAAGACAACATCTCAAGCACTCACCAATGGTGCCACAAGACAACCGCTAACAGTAGCAGCAGCATCAACAGCAGCAGCAGCAGCAGCAACGGCAACGGCAATAGCCACGGCAACGACAGCAGCAACAACATCACCGACAGCAACAACCGCAACTGCAACCGTAAGCAAACAAGTTAAGTCCGAACGTCACTTGCAAAGCAACAACAATCAACATGTAGAAACGGCAACGCCCCCGAATCCGTCAAAGCTGTCCACCGACAGTGAGACGTGTGCGCCTGCGGCTACAGCGAATGCCAAATCCAGCAGCTTCAGTAGCAGCAGCAGTAAGACGACGGCCACACAGCAAGATGTGGACGAGGTGGCTCGCCTGTTCGAAGAGAAGCCCGAGGCCTTTGAGAAATGGCTAACGGAACGTGCACCGCCCGAGGCGCTGAGTCGCCTACACGAGTTCATTGAGAGCCGCAAGCCGCACAAGCGGCCCTCGGTCACTTCGGACTTGTTTCAGCAATGGATGGCCTCGCCCACAGTGCAGCAGGTGGGTTTACTCTATAATACAGATTATATATATATATATATATATATATATATATATATATATATATATATATATATATATATATATATATATATATATATATATATATATATATATATATATATATATATATATATATATAGCATACTTTTTGGAGTCTACGAGCAAAGTTTGCGCTCGACTGTCTGAGTACGTGGCAATGCCGATATATACAAACTCAATTTGATGCAGCTTGAGCTGGTGGTGCAATAAATTCGTTAGCTGCATTTGATATTTAATTCATCAGAGGCGTCCGGTTGCGGCCACAGCAGCTGCAACTCAAGAACCACTTTTCTCATAGCGTAAATAAGTTTCGTGCAACTCCTCTGAGCTAGAGCTCCTACGGAGTCTTGCTCTGTCTGACTTCTATTTTATGACTTCTAGCTATGAATACTAATAAAGATGAAACAAAAAATATAAAAACGTGTAGTTTCGAATTAGATTGAATGATGTTGTCTATGTCGAAATACAGACTAAAACTGCTTTTATTTCTATATAGGCCAACTGTTGAAAGCTAATGAAAACATTGCTGTGCTATATGAGCAGACCTTCAGACCTTCAACCAATTGATTACTGAATTTGTGCACTACTTGAACATCATTTACAACAGCGGCTCAAACAATTATCAAAAGTGTGCGGTGACATTGAAATTTTATTTCAAAATAAAATTCGGTTAGTTAAACATTCTTTCAGCTTAACCTCTATAGCGCCTTTGGTTCCTGATTAGGTTTCTGTTTCTGTTTCTGTTTCTGTTTCTGTTGCGATTAGCCATTAACTGGGCTCGGCGTCTTTGGGCAGCTAGTTGTCTGGCACGATTCCTTCGCCTTACATTCTGCATACGCTGTCGCCTTCGCATCCGCTGCATTCGGTTTCGCAAGCGCCTAACTGTCGCTTGAGCCTCAGCCAATTGGGTAGCCGCTGCTGCATCATCAGCTGACGGTGCTGTCGTTGAGGTGCCACCTGCCGGCGTTGATGCAGCGGGCGCCGTTGGATCAGCGGGCGTCGTTGGATCAGCGGGCGTCGTTGGATCAGCGGGCGTCGTTGGATCAGCGGGCGTCGTTGGATCAGCGGGCGTCGTTGGATCAGCGGGCGTCGTTGGATCAGCGGGCGCCGTTGAACCAGCGCCTGCATTGCCTTGAATTAGACAAATAACCAAAACGGCACAGCTAAAGATCACTGTTTGGATCCTCATTTCCTTGGTTTGGGTCTTCGTTGCGAATGTGAAACGTTGATTCGAGCTGCTCATTTTATAGCCAATTTAAATTTGTGAATTTTATTTACATTTTCTGGATACATTGAAGCATTTGCCAGTTGTGCCAACAATTGGCCCATCACAATATTCTTAAATAAATTAGTTTCTGCAACTCAACTTTAAATTCGCTCCCTCCATAACGAAAGTATTGTTTAATATTGAAACAGTTGTTTTTCAATAATATTATTTATTTCTTTTTCTTTTTTTTTTTGTTACAATCTAACACGTGGCATCTTCGCTGAAATCATATTATATGTTAACTATCCAAAGTACTCATTTGTTTTGTCAATACTAAATTGATAATGCTGACATGTCAACTAAGTGAACAACAAGCTAGAAGACGTGCGTAGCCGACTGCATAATACTCGCCCAATGTCCAAAAACAGCAAAGTTAATTTCAAAATATTTATATAATGCATGAGAGGTAAGCTAAAATGGATGTTACTAGCTCATGTTCCACGAATCATGTTGCATCTAGTACCGTAAACATATATTTAGTATCGCATAACGAATTAGAACAAGTTTTTTCCAGCATACTTTGATTTCTTCAATTTCTGCAATTCCTTTGCTGTTTACGCAAACTTGTTTAGGCAAACAAATTCAGAAAACCAAATTAAATTTCTCTGGTGCTAAAAAATGTTTTCTTGTGCTTACTAGACTTCATCATACATAGCAGACACACCAGCATATCTTTAAAAAATACTGTCTGTCTTAGCAAATGCGCATTGCCTCGAGTAGGTCTTAAAAAGTCTGCAATATATCAGTTGGCACACTGGCTGACTGCTATAAAACTCATAACCATTTTCATCACTATATTTTAAAGCATACCTTTAGTCACGCTTTTGTATTCAAAGACATCAGCTGTTACGATTTTTTAAAGCCGGCGATTAGATCGCTGAAGCACAGAAAGAGGGGCAATGTTTTATATGCAGTGTAACAGTTTATTGAAACAAATTGGATAGGGGACTGGACAGCCTTCTCAGCCTACTACCAACACTAACCCCATTTGGAAGCCTTGTTGTTGTTGCTAGGCTGTTGTCCTCTTAGATAAGCGGCCAGTAGATTGAAACGTCGGATCACTTTCCTGTATCTCCAACGTTGGGCCGCTTTTTGTCTGAGTAGTTGGAGTATCAACTGACGGAGAGCAGCTTTATCAGTTGAGGAGGATGAAGCGGTAGTTGAAGTACCAGCAGACGACGGGGTTGTCGTTGCGGTAGCTGGTGTCGTGGTTGCTGTCGGTGCGGGTGTCGTCGTCGCTGGGCAACTAGTGTTTGATGCATTTGTAGGGTCTGCGCACTCCGTCGCAGTGCACGCGGTTGGAATTGCACATGCCGCATTGCTGCCTCGAATCAGGCAAATGGCCAGGAGGACACAGCCAAAGATAACCGTTTGGATTCTCATCTTGATATCGGGGTGTTGGTTTTGAATGTCAAACTGGGCTGAAACAGCTCAATTTATACCGTTTTTGAGCTTCTAAATTTATGTTTGCTTTTACTGAATCAAAACTTTAGCCAGCTGAACCAACAAATGTAACTATTCTTGACTAATTTGCCTGCCTTTGTTGATAATAGCGCATAAGATAATACCAAAACGACCTTCGAAGCATTAGCATAGAAATGATTAAAAACACTATTTACACCCTGAACCATGCAGAGAGAGAGAGGCGTGACGAATCCTATTAATTAAGCTTGGTCCGTATAGGACCGTATAGGAGCTAGAGACTCGAATTGTAGGTCTGCCCAGCACGCACTCAAATGATCGATAACTACTCCCGTTCTATTGTTATCGATTAAAGACAATATCAAAGTATCAGTTATTAAAAAGTAGAGTTCTACATTTTTTAATTTTCGTTTAGATAGCTTGGCGCTATTGGCGGCGGCGGTGCTCGTTGCAGAGGAGTTCTGAGTTCAGCTCTGGGCGACGTTTCTTTGACAGAAATACTATTTTGAAAGCGATATTTCGAAATTGTTTATTAGTTTATGCTAAATACGAGCTATAGGCTATATTTAACTAGGCGGCAGGTTGGACGGTGTTCAGTGTATCTCCTAGCTGGGCATACCCGACTAGAGATTTTTCGTGCTTTAAAACTGATTTTTTATTTATTTCCAAAGATCTTCCATATTTCAACAATTGCAATACAATTTAATCGCATTTTAAATGATATAGTTCAAGAAACACAACGTTTTCCTTAATGACTTCTGTGATGTCTAATTGTTGTGATGCCACAGCTTCCATTAAAGATGTGGTACATCGCCAAAATGTATTTTATACCATCGAAAATGGGAAATCAGGGTATAATGGTTTTGTGCAAATGTATGTAACAGGCAGAAGCAGGCGTGGCAGACCCCATAGTGTATATATATTCTTGATGAGGACGACAAGCCGAGTCGATTGAGCCCTGTCCGTCTGTCCGTATGTGTGAACGCGTCGATCTCAGCTTCTATAAGAGTTAGAGACTTGCAATTTTTTTTAGGTCCGTGTATAGCACGCGCATATCGAGTTTGTTTCATATATTCGATAACTATTCGCATTTAACTGTTATCGAATAAAAACCTGATTGAAATGCAGTTAATAAATTATATCTCCAATTTAGTTTTATGTATAATTTATGCAATTTTGATTTTTGTTGGATTTTGGATACCGGCTCCAAATTGCCCCAAATTCTTAAAATTTAAGTTTAGTTGGAAATAGGGCCAATCCAATATACTATGTAGATCATATGCTGAAAATTTCATTAAAATCCATTATGTAAAACAGAAGTTAATAGTTTTGATTATTAACTTAACTGTTTGGCCTATTTGCAAAAGCACATATCAGCATCGCCACGCGCACTCATTTTTCCTATGTATGTGCACACATACATTCAAATGCATGTATTCTTTTCTATTCGAAGAATCGAAATTGATATTGAACACTGCTTAAATTATCATCTGTTACGCAACTTCAAATTTGCAACTCTCCTTCCAAGCAGTGCAGTGGCTGCGTTGGTAGAGGCGGTGCTCGTAAGCAGTTAATCCCTGGGTTCGAAAATTGCGGCGATGAGATATCTAAATTGTTTTATTTATTTTTTTAATTATGAAGTGGCGGTGTTGGTATTGATTTTATTGAATTTGAGTTGCAATGCGTTCTGTCCGCATAAGGACATGCAGAGGGGGTTCATCTTGCCATACCTCCTCTGCCTGTTGCTTTGAATTCCCGTCATCAATGCGCTTAGCCTATGAAAATGTATTTCAAAAAACAAATACAAGTATTTAGATGTCAGTATTTACCTCTGAGAAAGTGCATCGAAAACAAAATTGATGTAATAATTCGATTATATTAAACCCCTTAATGCAGCCCAAGCGCAGTACATGATTGTGTTCTTAGCTCTATATCGCTTAATTGTTGTTGGAAGTTTTACAAAAAAAACGCAGTTATGTTGTATATGCAGTGTAACAGTTTATTGAAACAAATTTGATAGAGGAGTGGTCTGGCTTGGCATAGGCGTGACTGTGTCGCCAATTCTGCTGGACAGCCTACTCAGCCTACTACCAACACTAACCCCATTTGGAAGCCTTGTTGTTGCTGGGCTGTTTTCTTCTTAGATAAGTAACCAGTCGATTGAAACGTCGGATCAGTATCCTGTATCTCCTACGTTGGGCCGCTTGGTGTCTGCGTAGTCGGTGTATCAAGCGACGGAGAGCAGCTATATTAGTTGAGGAGCCGGATG